TAGCACCAGTGGGTCTACCTCGTAAGATCTTTCGATGGATTAGATGCACCGTCAGTGTTTCCTGGAAAACGTTCCCCACTAAACGGAAATAATTCTATTAAAAATATACAAGATTAGTAACCATGCAAATCCACTGATAACAGTAATTTATTATAACGAATTATATATGATATTTATTAATTATTATTTATTAATTGCATTTTCCCACTTTGCTGTGTCTTGCCGTAAAACCACATCATAGTATTTAAATGATCTGATCAAACCTTCACCAATCATAATCAATTCTAAATTAATCATTGTTTTACGTTTATCATATCGTAAACCACTACCATAATAATTTAAATATTATTTTACCAAAAATAATATTGTAGTTGTATGGTTAAAACAGTTTAATCTTATATATTAATATATATATATATTGTTTATTTCGTTAGTGAAATACTATAACTTGCACCTCTGTATATCATAGTGGATTCGATAATATAAGCCTACAGTATATGAACAGTCATTTTATATTTAGTGTAAGTCTTATAGACGCAAAATGTTTTCGACGAACCTTCAATATAATATAAAACTTTCCTAAAAAATAATCTATTATCAGTTACAAACATAGGGTTTCTGAATCTAAATTTTCTCTAAGAAGGATAATTTGAAATATTTTTGTCGGATAACATCACTATCTTGGTTATGATTGATCACAATTAGTAACGCGTCGATTGAGGGAGTTGTAGGGTACAGCTAATCACGAAGTTGTAAATATCTCCAGCAGCTATGCTACTAATATTTCATTTTCTGTGACGTGTTTTCGCCTAATTGAGCCTCATCAAGCAAAAGTGATATTTTCTAAGCTTTCTTGAATGTTGGTTGATTTAAAACACGCAAAACATTTCAATTTTGTCGACATCCGTAATTATTTGTATATTATGCAATGAAAAATTCAACTTGTAAAATTTCAACTTGTATTTTAGCATTGTTTTACAGTACACAGTCTATTTTACTTTATTTTAGTTTTATTTAAAATCTCACTCAATAACGAGTAAACTCCACATACAGAATGGATATTTATTCATTTAATTCATTTATTTATCCTTTTTTTTTCTTTGTTTATATATTCAATCGTTTATTTCTATTTAGTATTGTCTATTTAGAAATGCGTTTTATACATTTGACAATAGTTAGCCCAATCTAGATCATCTGAATTAAGTTCAACGTCTCCTCAATTTATCCCGGCAGTCATAAACACGATTTAAGTGCTTAATAAATATTTACATGTACCATTAAAATCCAAAATAGAATTATCATATCACACTCTCAGTTTAATAAGTCTGTATCGCTTTTTAAATTTTCAATTATAAACCTTTAATACAAAATTCCCTTGACTTTCAAAAAATATATCTTTTTCGCAAATTATCAGATACAATAGAATATATATATAGGATCTGTAGTATTACTGTGGCGATATTCTTTGATCCTTAAGATGGATGGTAAACAAGCTAAGTAGGCCTATTAATTTTATATTAAAATATCTGTAAATGATCGAAAACCGAATTGTTTCGGTCTATGAAAAGGTGGTAGCTTGTTCTGGATTCTTTAAAAATGTTTGTTTAAGTTTTTCACAAACAGTAAATGTTTGATATACGGTAATCTAAATTAAAACACAATTGTTTTCTATATATAATTGTTCAGATAAACAATGTGAAAGCTTTTCATTGGTTACTATCGAAGATTAAATCTAACTGTCAAGACGATGATCATCATATCGCGTACTGATGCGACATCCTAAAGTCCTTTACACATCATCAACTTCATCACCACCTTCTATAAGGACTCTGATTTTCACTTATTACATGTCTTATCTTTGTCTCCGATAATTTGAGATCAATCAGCCTTAGTACAAGTACTTGCTTATAAATTGAAGAAACTGATTGAATCAATGTTATGATTTAGATTGTCCTACAACTACTATATTTTTTTCATATTTACTTTTATTATTCTCATTGGTTTTGATAATTCGTTTTTATTCTAATACTAAATCTAGAATCCTACCATTATCCAACGGGCTTTCTATTTTGTTTTAAATCAATATCGTTGCCATTTATGTGTTCTGTTCAACCACGATTTGTATATGGCAAAGTAGAAGAATATGGTATTATGGAAAAATGGACTAGTGTTAGTAGATTTCCTAACAATAGTAGAAAATTAATATAGGCCTATGTTATAATTAGGCCCATATAATTGTGATTCAAATGCACCTAATTCAATGCTAATAATACATTACTACATTGTTTAACGTTTGGCTGACTATCTGATCGACTCATTATCAAATTATTAATCGTCGAGAACATTAGACCGGAATTTATAATAATGATATGCCTTACAGATATGTCTTTAATTATGTCGTTCTTTCATAGGGCAAAATATAGGCCTAGGGCTAATATGTGACGTCCCATCACATACGCAGATGTGAAGAATTTGTATTCTTGATACGATCTCGTCTATTCATTGTTTCATGCATCAGTGTGAGTATAAATGGTATAAATGTAAATGATACTTTAGAATATACAGATAACTTGTATTCATTTTACAGTTATTACCAGGGAACATCACTGTTTCTTGGTTATTACTATGAACTTGATATTCTGTTTCTGGATGTAGGCCTAACTTTCGAAACTTAAAAAACAGAATCGTTAAAAGATTATATAAATGTTCCACAACTTTAAAGGAATAATAATGTACAAACAGTGAACTTATTCCCTTGGAAACATAATATTAAACATTTTGTACTGTGGGTTGTAGGCCTACTGCAAAAGACGTCTGTTGCCCTTATTGAACGCCAAAGGCCTAATACAATAATTAATGATGTATAAAATTAGCTAAATCTTTGCTTTGATTTTCATATTATTTATGTAACCATCGTTATTATCTCTTTGTTATTTATTACCACGCAACAATATAGACTATTTATGTAAGGAACAGCTCTGTACTTATGTCTTTTGATGTATGTGTAGGACTAATGCTTTCTTTGCTTGTGGGTAAATCTATGTATTATAGGCCTATTACAAATTGTAGAATAAAATCGTAGGAATAAAATAACTTAATAATCAGATTAATAATGATTATTAAGTCATTAGTAATGAAGAGATTAGTAATATTCTAAAAAAAGATAACATCGGCCTTTCTAAAATTAGAGTGACATTTCGAACACACCATTGAACCAACGACTTAACCCATAAAATTCATCAATATTTTTTCAATAAAAAATAGTGCTAGGCCTATTAGCTAGTTCATTATAGTTCATTCTGCCAAAATTCCATTAGTTTGCATAGTATTGTTATATCGGTACTTTTTATTAAAATTTTCTATTGAATTTTAAGGCCATGCGAACTTATAAGGTTGTGATAGATGAATCTCGATACAATACCGCTACCATAGCAGATGTTATATTTCTTTAGTTATCCTTTGTTCTACCTGGGAACATCACACAAGGTGAACGTTTCATTTTGCATAGTAGTTTTCAAAAATAATTGTAAGCTTTATCAATGTTATCGCTATTCAACGAATACATCTTTTTTTTTTCTCCCTAAACAAAAAGCTAAATTATTTGGGGGATATGCATAAACATAAGACACGAGCGGCATTGAATACGACGCATCTGTAATTCAAAGTTATCTTCAATATTCATTATCGTTATAGGCCTAGCCGTTTACAAACTGCTCATCCGTCATTTCTCGGACGCACTAAATAGGTTTAGTAAATAGAAACAAGTGGTTCTTTATTCGGGCTTGTGACTTCGATCCGGATGTGCGTTGTCTAATATCCATTGTCCAATGATACTCTAAAGCGTAATTATGTTATTATCTGAGATTGCAACAAAACTATAAAATAATGTGCAAGTTAATATTGTCTGTACAATCTTTCAAAGAGCCCAAATTACAGTAGAAAAAAAGTCGAGAATCCAGTGTAATCATGAACCATAATGAATTACCTTTCAAAAACTTAATCCTCCCCGGATTATGTTTTAGTTTTGACTGAAGGAGGTAACGTTCAATTGGCGCCATTCTTCTACTTTGCCTTTTTTAACTAATGTGCACAGATATCATGTTTGAAACGGTGAATTTGAA